AAGCGTTTCTAATCATTCCGGGAATCTTAAAAAACGATTCTTTCACACCCCCAATATCCCCAGCCCACTCTATTCGGGGCGGGGAAATTCTGGGAGTTGAAGTCCATGCATCTTAAAAGTTCCTGAGATTGAGAAACACTGCTGTAAAGGAAAGTTGAAGGAAGATCATAAGCACAGTCGCAGTTTCACTTAGCGACCGCTTCGCTTAACGACCGAGTTGCCGGTGCCAATTGTGGTTGATAAACAAGGTCTACCTGCACCCCCTTTTGTTAGGTAAGGTGAATCTGTCAAGCCCTGGTGCTCAGGTTCAGCCCTTTCTCAACAGTTCTTCACTCATTTCTCTATATTTGGAAAGTGGCTTCCTTTGGGGCACATCCTGGGGCCATCGGCGACCGGTCCAAGGTAAACCCTTCTTTCATAATGGCAGGCGTGCCTGTTGTGTCCTCCCGGCTCCCTGGGATGAGGCAGAGATGGGTCAACAATAAAGCGCAGCTCTCTGGGGCCAGTTGTGCCTGATGCTTGGAAGAATCCTGAAAAATCCTGAAAAATCCCTAATGGGAAGGCTGCTGGCCTTCCTCATCCCTCCAGAGGGGACTTTTCAACGACTCGCCCCTCTCCAAGGACCCCGTTACACCAGAGAACCTGTGTGTCCCAAAGCCTGCGGTCCAGCACGAACCACCACGATCTTAAACCGGAGAATAAAATCAGGGAGGGAGCCAGGACGGATGACCCGAACTGCAAAGAGGAGATTAGGAGGTCGCAGCGCAGGGGAACGAACCCGCCTCTGGTGCAAGAAATGCAGGACAGACCCCGGGTGCCTCCAGCAGCGTTTTCAAGGAGGAAATGTAAGGATTTAAGACAAGCCGGGGGGGGGGCAGTTGGAGACAAACCGAAACCGAGCAAGTCGGTGCTATCTGTGGCGTCCTTGGGGTTAGCTTGCAGAGGTTTCGTTACCCAACTAGGTCACTCCTTCAGCGCTAGCACGGGGGATTCTGGGAGCTGAAGTCCAGACCTCTTAAAATGGCTGAGGTTGAGAAGCCCTGCATCAGAGAGCGAATTTCAAAACTGCCCATTGCAAAAGTCACGAAACCATCGAGTTGGGAGGGTCCATCAAGGGCCTCCAGCCCCCCCCCCCCCGTTTTGTGCAGGAAACTAATTTAAAGTATCCCTGACTGAGGACTGTCCAGGCTTTGCTTGAACATACCCAGGGAAAGGGAGCCCCCCCGTCCCCGCCAGCTTATCCAACTGCTTTTATGGTTAGGAAGTTCTCCCTAAAGTTCCATTGGAATCTGCCTTTCTGTAACGTGACTCTATTATTCCATGTCTTGAGAGCCCCTGAGCATGCACAGAGCACCCCTTGCCTACCACTGAGGAACACGCTCATCTTCCCCCGTGGTGTCATATCAAGACACCAAAAGAACAAGGCGACACTGAATAACAGCGGGTGCTTACCCGTTTGTATTGCCTCCTTATTCCTGAACCCTGTCCCCAAAGGAAGGCGTTTGCCAATCGCAGCCCCTTCCGCTGACCCCCTCTAAAGCAAAGCCTAGCGCTTTCTGCCAGTGGTCTGTGGCTTCATTTGGCAGCCGCACCTTACGCAAATCGAGACCAACGTATTTTTCGCCGCTCAGCCCCGCAGCCTTTTGAAACCTCGCTGCAAAGACAAAACACCCAGGTGTGAGGAAGGGTGTGGCGCGGGGGGCTCGCAACCTACCTGGGAGGCCAGGTTCCCCCGAGGCCCCGCCAACGCCTCGACTTCAGGCAGCCCTGCGATCCCCCCTGGAGAGGAACTCCGTGTCTACCTGCCGTCCAGGCGCCAGGATCCTCTGGCTGGCCTTCTGCATTTCTCCTGCCTGTCAATCATTAAACAGATGTGCTGCTACCCCAACGGTCACATCCCGGTGGCGGGTGGCAAACCAGGACCAGGGCAGAGAGGGCCATCCTCTTCCTCCTTGGCCAACGTGACGGAAAACAGATGAGCAATGCCAAGCCAAATGTTGACAAGGGCAACCTGAAAGGGCCCGCCCTGGGCTTCGCTGCTCCCTCCTCTCGAAGAGGAGAGCTGCTCTCGACGAGACGAGCGCGGGAGGGCTGGCAGGTAACTCGACTCTCTCGGGGCAGAAGGAAACGGCCCAACCCATTTCCAGCTCAGGGTCACAGATAAACCAGCTGCTTCCCTGGCAGGGCATCACGCCAGAGGCACAAGGCCACCTGCCTTTTGCAAGGCTACCCAGTGGGGCTGGGCGGGCAACTGCCCCACCCACGAAGGAGGCATTCAGTTTACAAAGAACTCCCACCGCTGACTTTGCTGCCTCTTTGCAATTCCTCAGAGAGCAACCAGATGCCCCAACCTTGCTTTGGGCTGCAAACCATCGTTTACGGCTTAGCACCAACGGTGAACCCGCCACTGGGTGATCCTTTCTGAACCACTGCCAAGCCTCTGCTAATCAAGATGCACTTTTTAAAATTTGTATATATATTTAAGGACCTAGCAGGGCATAATCTAGGGCAGTCTTTCTCAACCTGAGCAACTGGAAGGTGGGTGGACTTCAACTCCCAGAATTCCCCAGCCAGCAAACACCGCTGCTTTCCAGATGTGCTGGGAAGTAGCTTTCCGAATGCAGGTCTGACTAGGGCTGGGGGTGACCCTTTCTATTTTCATAAAAAAAAAAAAAAAATCAGGTTTTGAAGGGAACATGGTTGGGGACATGCCTGTCACTAGATTTCTTTATTTTGCAGGATGGGGGTCTTGCATGTTTTCTTTGTATAGAAGAGTGTTTCTCAACCTTGGCAACTTGAAGATGGGTGGACTTCAAGCTGCCAAGGTTGAAAAACACTGATCTAGGGCACAGCTCAGCTGCAGAAACACTCCCTGAGATATTAACCATGAACTATGCTTTATTTTTTCCCACCCAGAGAAGTCACAACAAGGACTACAATTTAAGGAAGTGCACCATAAACTTGATAAACTAGAACAGCAAAACACAGGAAGGGTTATCAAGACTAACCCAGCTGTATCTTACAGTCTGCCCCACAGGGTCCATCAACCTTTGCCCCAAACACTCTCCAGAGCTGTGCTCCAGAGTCCAAAAAGCAGATTAAATCATCACAATTACACCAAACCAAACAATGGAGCTGTTGATGGACTAAAATGTTTGCCTTTGCTGCATAAACCCAAATCCAGGGCAACAGAAATTTAACTTCCAGCTGGACAGCCACGTCAGGCAGGTGCAACACGCCAATAAAGTTTTTTCAACATCTTAAAAAAAGAAAACTTTATTCTAGATTTCTTCAAGGATCAGAAAGGAGCAACCCCATCATTTGGGGTTGCAAAGTTGACAGGGCCTATGGGGGAAAGGCAATGTTCTGGAGTGGTCTTCCAAACCTAGTATCCTCCAGGTGTCTTGGATTAAAAGTCCCATCAGCCTCAGCCACAAACTTTTGATTCAGAAGTATGGGAGGCCACATCGAACACACCTGGAGGTTCTCAACTGGGGAAGGAGGATCCTAGACCCCATGCCATTGTACAAGACATCAGGTCCTACCAAATATCCATGTTCCTAACAAATCCTCAAACATGATTTAACATTTGAAATATCCAATATGCACAGCCAGTCTCAAATTCACACACCTGACTTTGCCACCTAACCTGGCAGTTTTCGAAAAGGCTTAAATCCCACTTCCAACCTACTGTGTGTACTGACACTCATTTTGGGAGGTGTGGATCTGCTTTTCTCCCGATTCCCCCATTTTGGCTCATTTTGAAATCAGCACCCAGGAAAACTCGAACCAGAAGGGGAATTAGAATTTCCTCCATCCAGCCAGCCAAAGAGGAGAGCTTTTAACTCTGCCTGCAACGTGAAAGCGAGTCCATACGCCTTTTCTCAGAACGAAATCCCTGAGAGACAGCACTTGCTCAAACGCGTGTTCACAAGGCACCATCTCTATGAGGGGACTTACACTTCCTTTTTGGAACACTTTGTCCAAAAGCTGGATATCCAGTGGGCTATTTATTAAACAAAAGCTTCCCCCTGACTCATTTCAATTTGTACATGATGTCGAGAAGGTTCTGCAGAAGGTTGTATTTGCAGCACCAAGGAAGAGCAACGCGGGTCCCCAAACAGATTGGCTGTGGAATTACGATCTTTCTTTACTCAGTTGATATTCTACCTTTCTGCCCGGAAGATGGCTAGCCAAAACATTAAAGTGGCTAACCAACAAACTGGGTTTGACAAACCAAAATGACCTTCTCTGTGTTACTGAACCACAGCTCCCATTATCCTTCCCCGCTAGACCAGTGGAAGGATGGCTGATGGAAATATCACACAACTCTGCATCTCGCACGGCAACAGAGAAGTTGCCCTCAAGGGCTGTTTGAGAATCCCCCCCTTTTTTAAAAGTTTTAAGCAACCTGCTGGCCTTTCTGTCAATGTAAGTCTGCAGCAACACCGGATGCACCTCAACCCTGGAAAATGTTTGAACATCAGCCGGAGGACAAAACTTTGAAACAGTTTAATCCTCTACTTAATTAGAAGAAGCTGCATAAACGAAATACAATTATTGGAGTTTATTTGCATAGTTTATCCATGCTGAAAGAAACATCAGCATTTTTGGCACAAGCATTTCAAAGTCCTTTTCGAGCTGCACCGTGTTACACACACAATCCCGCTCAGAAGACACGCAACGCTGGTGATCCTGAGTGGGTGGCTGGCTCAGAGCTCTTCCTGCCCATCGCCTCCTGCGGGCAAGGAGGGTCCGGCTGCTCCAACAGAGGCAACAGTTCAAAAGGTGCAACCTGAAATTCCAGAACTACATGCAGTTATTACCAAATTCTAAGGTTTAAAGGGGTGGAAAGAAAAAAACGGAACGCATGACCACGGAATCAGCAGACTATCCGCACTGAAATTTAATTACGTGGAAGGGAAATGAATTCCAATGCAGTGTTTGTCCTGGCACCGGTCATCCTTTAAGGAATGTAGCCCTGCGTGGGCTTTCAAAGGCCACGCCTGACCTTCCCCACGAAACCCCTGGACTACAGTTCCACTACTTCTGGTTAAAGGTTCTCTACGAAACCTGTTTTTGCGTCCCTGTTTGTCCTCACGTTTCATGTTTCTAAGTAAAATTAAAAAACTGAAATAAGTGTCAGATGGTCTCCATGAACTCAAGTGCGGAGATCAGTTTTGCAGCGGCCTTGACAAAACCCCACCAAAGAAACGTGTTCTGCATCGGGGCTCTGTGTCTCTCAGCAATACAGGCCACCTTCTCTTATGTCCCACCCAACTGACCTTTTACTTGAACCCACAGATTCTGAGATTAATACCTCCTTGCAGAGGGACGTAGCAAATCTGAAATAGCTTTATGGGCTGGAACTAAAATGGAGAATCAGGAAAAAGAAATCAGGCTGCCGGCTACCGATCCGATGCCCGGGTGGCAAATACACGACACCAGGTTCAAATACTGGCAGCTCCAGTTCAATGCAGAAGCCCACTCTTGGCTGGGAAGAGAACTGGGCTTCTGACTTCCTAACAATGGCTGATCCTCACGCTCAGCCACGAGGCCATCTGCCCGGGCATTCTGCAGGTCACAGGAGATGATGTATACCAGGCATGTCTGCAGGGTATGATTAAAAAAAAGTAGTAGTCAAGAAGGCAGCCGTGATGGCGCAATCAAAGCTGTTTTTTATGTGCGCTGTAGAGCCATCTTGACTTTTTGCCTGCATACGGCAGACACAGAGACCTCCTCTCCCCCAGGTTTACTATTCTTCCCTCTCCCATCCTCCCACCTTCTTTGTCCCCTAAACCAGTGTTCCTCAAACTTGGCAACTTTAAGATGTGTGGACTTCAACTCCCAGAATTCCCCAGCCTGCAGGGCCACTGCTAAGAATTCTGGGAGTTGAAGTCCACTTGTCTTAAAGCAGTTTCAGTTGAGAAACACGGCTCTAAGGGTCCATACAGATTTGCCATCAACAATGGCTACTCTTCCCATCCTCCTTAGGGTTTGTCGTCTCCAACAGAAAAGTCAGTCAAGTTGGGCTTACCACTTCCAAGAACATCTGGAGACTTGTTTGCACACCTAGAGGCATTCCTTGCACATCAGAGACACCCCAAGGTTCAGCTCCTCCCTCTTGACATGCCAGCATTCTACACACAGGGAATACTCCATAAATACTCTATTTACGGAGAAGCTTTCGATCGCATGAGCCCCCCCAGTGCAAAACAGTCATTTCCTCCGGCCCAGAATGATAGAGGTTTTCAGCACTTTGGGGACGTGGCGGATGGTGAGAGACACCCGTGTCTCACGAGGCAACGTGTCCCCAAACGCACAGCCACACACGCCCGCATTGGCCACTTTCTGTGTAACAGTGTCCTCCGTGACGGGGCGGATGCCGTGAAGGTAACGCACATACATGTCTTCCTGCAAGACCAGGAGGCTACGGGGCATCAGTAGTAAGGACAAGACGTGACGCTCCTCCTCCGTCTGGGGGGCAGGATTCTGCAGAGAACAAAGGCCCCGTGGTTGGAAAGGGACACTTTACAACACCAGATCCCCAACTAGATTCTTGCCTTAACAAGGGCACATCAAATGACTGCTAGCCAATTCCATGCACCCATTACTTGGACTCGCCAACTGAGGGTTTCACGATAATTGCTACTGAAACTGCCCCCGACAGGAAACCCCCCCCATTTTCCTTCTCCCTCAGATCCAGACCATTTGCAGCCACAACAGAGCCATAACCAAAGACACCCACCTGTGCTGCTTTCCTCAACCCAGGTACCCTCCAGATGTGGGAACTTCAACTCCCAGAATTCTCAGCTGTTGCCACATTGAGTGGGGAATTCAAGGATCAAAAATCCACTGGTTGGGGAGGCTAGATCGGCGAGTGACGTGGATATCTTTTTTTTTTAAAACACTGCACATCTCTGGTGTGACATGGAAAATCCCGGAGTGGCCAAGGGCAACGACATGTCTCCAGAGCAATGGGGCAAGGGGCACGAATGCAGAGAGAGGTGGGGGCTGACTGCACGCAGAAGTCTTTCCCAATAACTGGGACTTCGGGGGATTAAATCCCAGCACACCTGGAGGGGAAGTGGGGGAGGCTGGCAGGGAGAATCTGCTTGTGTACAGTTCTGTTCACAGAAGATGCTTAACACGGTTAGTGAATTAATGCAAGGTATGGGACACAAAGACGCAGAAGGACTGGCTTCCCCCAGCAGGCTGAACTGCAAAAAGACTAGCCAGGATGAAAACCACCAAGATAAGCGTGTTGCACAGATGCAGCTCCTGGGGCTGAAACTGACCTAGTTAAGCATGTGTGAACAAGCCCTAAACGTGGCTAGGAAGCCATGAAAAACTGGCCACGGATGAGGACCCCCTTAAAGCTCTGAAAGAAGAGCAGAAATGCTTTTGACAGACTGTTTCCCTGGACTCTCCAACCACGCTTTTCCCAAACCCAGAGCTAAGCCGATTCCTACTCCGGTCACTCCATCCGCCACGTCTGTTTACAGCTTTGCCCAGCCAGCCCTGGGTGAAGCACCCTCTAGAGCAGGGGCTGATAAAGCTGGAGAACGGCCGTGATTTTGTGTCTGACCGTACCTCTTGGCTTCCGGACTGTGGTCCTCTGGTGACGGGATGGTAGAAGTCGAGGAGGGTGTGCGACCCTAAGTTGATGGTGGTGACGGTGGGGAAGTACAGCGGGCCATCCTCGTGGGGCTGCAAGCCAAAGCGGGCTGAGTCAGAGGAGAGCCAAAGGGTTAGGGCTCTCTATCCCCACACCGGGGTAAAAGGAAGAGGGGGAAGAACCCCCCAACGGTTACCATGATGCCCTCGCCAGGCTGGTACTCGTTCACCAGGACGTGATTTGCCAGCTTTCCTCCGAAGATGCCAAGGGAAGACACTTTATCCACATAGCCCTGGAGCCAGGGGGGCAGTTTCTCTGGGACCATCCCTTTCGGGTGGGGCAGCCCTCCTGCAAGCAGGTGACGAACAACACAAAGCAGAGCGTTACTCTTTGCGGAAGCACAACTGTGATCTTGCCAGAGATGCAGTGGACCAGACCAACTTTGCCCAAAATGGTGCCCTCCAAATGGGGGGGGGGACGACTCTAGTTCCCAGAATGCCAAGCCAACAAGGCCCCAAACCATGGGAATTCTGGGAGTGGCAGTCCTAGCGCACTGGAGGACATCCAGTTAGGGAAGACTCTACTTAAAGACGAATGGATGGAATTATAGTGGAATGAATGCTTTACATGCCATGCTGCCCAGGGACAATCCTCTCCATTCCTCCCAGCTGGGCTGGGCTGGGCAGGACCCCCAACCGAAACTCTGGAAAACATCTGCTCCATCCCTTCTGCTTTGTTAATTGCACAATGCTTCCCTCTGGCAAGGCCCCAGAGAAGAGGCATGGAAAAGCAGAAGGCCCTGGATGCCAGCAAAGTGACTGAGGGCAAAGGCTTGGAAACTAGTTGAAGCCTGAGAAGGGATTGGGTATGGTGGGCCTTCCTGTGAGGAAGCAGCCCACCCTCGGGATCTGTCTCCATGGCACTTGTGCAATGTTTGACTTCCACAACATGAAAGCCAAGACTTCCCTCAGGGCTTCTCTTCTCTCAGCCTGTGCAGGACAGGCTTCCCTCGTGTGGCTCTCACGGTGAGGGGCTCTGAGGCCACCCTTACGTAAGAACTCCAGATACGTCCCACCTCCCAAAATCACATCGTACCCTGGACCCACACATTCCTACACTGAGCGAGGAGATCTCTAATGGGACCTAGTCCCATCAACAGCTCTGCTTGTAGGAACACCAGCAAGGAGGGTTTTAGCGTACACTGGGGTCTGCGTCCTGCTGTGGGAAGGGCTGGGACCTGAACTCAGGTATTGCTTCTGAGTAATCTCATTCTCCCTGTCCCCTTCCCACATCCAAGCAAGGCTCTCAGCTGGGACAACGGATGTTGCCAAAAAGTGGTTCCTTCCACCACCCCCTAACTTTTCCCTGTTTTCTTAGATGTCCTTAAAGGACCTCAGAGCATCTGACAGATGATTTCCCACTGAAACCAATTTGTGAGAAAGAGATCCACACAGACTGTGGAAGGAGAAGAGGCTTGGAACAGCTCATCAGTCAAGGTCTGATTAAAATCCACGATCCTGAACGGAATCCACTAGTATCCACTAACCATTTTGTGTCATCTATGCACAAAAGAACAGACGGTTTCATCTGCACACAGATCTGTCTATGCACAGGCAAACAATTTACCCCAGTTTTGCAGCCTCCTCCCAGACAGCTGAGTCCACTTTGGCTTCGGGGCACTATAAATCTGGAGATAAGAAAAAGAAAGAGGTCAATCTGTGGAGTGTAGGCCTGAGAAACAAACCAGCATATCCAGCCCCCCCCCCCCCACAATCAGATGAAGGGGCTCACTGTAGACCAGTGTTGTCCAAACTTGGCCACTTTAAGATGAGTGAATAGTTGCATGTCTTTATCTAGTTTAAAAGTTTATAACTGATTAATCTAACACAGTGTTGTCCAAACTTGGCCACTTTAAGATGAGTGAATAGTTGCATGTCTTTATCTAGTTTAAAAGTTTATAACTGATTAATCTAACACAGTGTTGTCCA